AATATATATATATATGTGTGTGTGTGTGTGTGTGTGTGTGTGTGTGTGTGTGTAATCACACACACACACACACACACACACACACAATATAATTTATTATGTATCTAAATAATAATATCTGCGATAAAAAATTCTTTTATTATATTATGAATACAATATATTATTATATTATCGTCATATAATAATATATTTTAACAAAAGTTTTAAAATATTATTTTTTCTTTATAATATTGATTTTATTTTTAGATTTAGATAACTTAAATATAAATCTTCTTAACTTTCTCTCAGAATATAATTTCGCATTTGATCTGCATATATAAATATGTACTTATATAATGAATATCATCATAATTAACTTAATTTCGCAAATTTAATTAAGTTTTATCGATCGACTTCGAATCGCAATTTCGAATCGAGCGAGACGCGATGTGCATGAATACACGTTCATTGTGCACATTGCATCATAGTAATTTTATAATTAAATACGATCTTATGAAAACCAGCGATAATTTAAATATCACAAATCCCATACTTGTGCGTTAAAATCAATTGACACGAACCGATGCTCGTTCGATACATATGTAATGCAACATTAATTTTTGTTAGCATTTTTTTCACGATAGAATGATACATTCGACATCTAATTACAACGTAAATGACATTGGGATCACGTGCTCCGATAAAAAAAGATTAATGTGTCGACACGTGACGCACATTGCGAGATAAGAAATACACGCGATTATTAAGAATAATATGCTTACTCAGTTTTTGTCTGTTGTCGAAGTTGATTCTATATGTACAATATTAAATGTATAATTATATATATAGTTTTATATATATAGTTTGGTTTTCGTCTTCAAATTGCTTATCGTTTCACTAATGCATTATAATTATTATCAATAAAAGTTATTACTTCTGTAAAATTTATTTGTATTTTTCACGTCTGCGTGAAGAAATAAACTTTAGAGTGATTAAATGTAGTCCATGTAGATTGGACTGTCGATAAGTATGAACTTGAGTCAATTCAATTCAATTTTGAATTATCAACACGTTACGTGCATCATGATAAAGAGTTTGTTTTGTACTTATAACTTAGCGTACGACTTTTCTTAATTTACTTGAACGAATTTATATCATCGAGCGAGTACTTGTTATTATGGTGCACGTGTCATTCATTCCTAGTGCAAAATCATATTTGCGTGTCAATTTTAAGCCTGGAAAAGCAGATGATTATTTTACTTTATTTCTATTAATTCTTATTATCACGATAGATTCGTCGAAATTCTCTTTGTTTACGAAACCGATCTCATCTGAATAACCAACTAACCAACATGACATAAATTTCTCTTTTTTTTATTTTCGCGTGTGTATATATATGTTGCAGGACCCAGCACGTGGGTGACGAAATTTCCCATGGCAGCTGGCTCTAGACAGAGTCCGGTGAACATCGAGACTAAACGGGCAGAATCCGATCATGAGGCTCTAAGCAGCAAGCCTCTGCGTTGGAAATATCCCTCTACAGCATCTCGGAAACTGGTCAATCCTGGTTATTGCTGGCGGGTGGATACCGATGGCGAGGACACGTGTACGTATCACACTTTATTTAAAATATCCCTTTTCTTTATTTTATTATTTTCTATATTTTATTAAATGTACCTTCTTCTTTTCATTTCTATGTAAATAAAAATTTATATATTGAGAATGTAAAAAAAGGACCATTTGAGCCAAAGCTAGATGACGATGCTAAATATATATTTTATAAATATATTTTGACAGATATTACTGTTTATAGAAAAATTCATATTCATAACGCAAACGTTTTGACCTTTATTGTCAATGTGTGTCATCTTTAGACGTGCGAAAAACAATCAACAAGAATAAAATTAGTCCGAAAATAAAACGCTCTTGCTCTTGTGACATGTCATATTCCGTATATAAATTAGAAGCGCCTTACGGTTGTCCAAAATATAAAAATTTAATTAAACGAGAAGAGAGTCGTAATCATACATCCTAAATTCAAATTGATATTCAATTCGAATTGATAAAATCGTTTCTAACAATTGAATCAGGGATGCCATAAACAAACATATCTAATAACAAAGGAATAATGATAACAAATCATTAATTTATATATTATTTTATCGTGACCCATCTCATTGTCACATATGAGAACTTCAAAAATTCAAAGAGTATCATGATTGAATAATATTTAACGACGATGTAATAACAAGATGACGCAAAACGTTTAGCATAAATACAAGCATAAATACAAGAGCGAAAGAACTGTTTTTCTCTCGAGAAGGAAAAAACCTAAAATTGTAATTGCAATCGAAACTTTGAATTGCAGATGAGGTACCTGCAAGCGAGGTACGTTGCGAGATCGGCGTGTAGCGCCGCTCGTCCATCCGGAGATGGTGATCTAGTATAATTTTAGATTTTGTGTTCGCCCGATACCCGATATTTCGCATTCCATCTTAAGCGTACTTCTATAAACATTAACGTTGACAGCGGCATTGAACGCGCGTACGCCTTGTTTGTTCGCAGCTTTTGGAGCAAGCTGTATAAAGGCGTTCTATCTCCGCACGAATAAGTTACATAATACTTTTTATTAATTTCGTGCATCATGCACACCTTACGTAAGAAACGAACGCGATGCGATTTGTTTTGTCACGGTGTTATGTATTCCGAGATTACATGCTGCGAAACGGAGAGCGAATTTTCGCGCGAGCGCCCGATCGTATATATCGTTATGAGGGTTTCACTGCCGACTTCGTGCCACTTATAGGGAGGGCTTTTACCTTCGTCGAGTGCACGAGGCGTATTTGAAATGAGGACGACCGTACCGTGGTGTATTATGTGCATTCATATGTGGCACGAAGCGGAGCAGCGCACTATGTGATGGCGATATGCGACACAAAACAATAGATAATAGTGTCGTGATAAACATCGTGACCCAATGTCACTTCTCAGGCACTCATCATACGAGGAGGCTTTTTAAGCGGTATATAGCATACGAAAATCATCAATATTATCAATATTATCAAAATTGTTACGTTTTACTGAAAAAAAATTGATAAGAGAATAAATGATCGATAACTTATAAAAAGAAAAAAAGGGTTCTTGTAACAAAACACATTTTTTTTCGTTTATTATAAAAATTCAGAATAAGTTTTGAAACGCACAAACATCTCATGAAAATTTTCTTCGCTCCTTGTTGTGTTACAATAAATAATTTTAGAGTCACATAGTTTGGAAAATTGCGCAAGAACGTAGACTTGGCGCACCAAATTTCTCAAACAATTTATCACAGTCGAAATAGAGACGAGACAAAATAATAAATGCGTCGCGACGCAAATGAATCACGCGGCACAAATGCGATGATCTTCTCTCGTTGTAGCCCTCGTCCATATAATTTAGTTAATCAAGCGTATCCTGTAAAGCGACAGCTAGTGTTACATTCGTCATAACACGTTCATAATACTTTATAAGAGCGTACTTTGGAAATTTCTACGTCATGTGGAATTTAGAGGTTTATCCATTCAGTTGCATTTTATATCACAATATTGCCACACGTACACGTACATAATATTGCCTACACGTCTCACATTTATAGGAATTTTGATTTGTGTTATTATTGTGTGACAGTTTTAAGTGGTGGACCGCTGATGGACGATGTCTACAAGCTGGAACAATATCACTGTCACTGGGGATGCAGCGATTCCAGAGGATCTGAACATACAGTGGATGGACAAGCTTTCGCTGGAGAGGTAAGATATCACTTCTTAAAAGGCTTAAAAGATATGTGACTGAATTTAAACCCGTGCTTGGAATTCACTCTCTCGCCTAATTAAATTTTAATAACTAAAACGACAAGCGATAATGTAATTATATGTATGTAATGTTAATTTACTTGGCAATCGAAGTAGCTCGTTAGTAATCCAGTCGTATTAAGAATATGATTCATTCTGTTTGCGATTATCCGCAGAGGAGCTTATGGCGGTATCGGCCTTATCCGAGAATAGCCGTGCGCGATTTATTAGCACGATCATTTTACCGAGGATAAACCAAAGCTCTAGCCTTAGCTATTAGCCATCCGCAAATATATGGAGTGATGTAAGAAAAATGACTTTGCTGCAAGTATAAGTAAAATATTTTAAAATACTTAAAATAACTTTACTGGAATATACAGGTACAGACGCTAATTATAAACAGATGTACATTTATATGCATATAATTACGCGGATATCATTCGTCTCGTAAATAATGCGCTATTATCGTCATGTTGCATTGATAGAATGCTGTGTCAAACGATGTGTCAAAGATATTTTTATGCTTGAGCAGCTGCGGCCTACAAAGCCGCATAACGGTTAACGAATAAGGAAAAAAATAACAAATGCGCGCATAGTGGTAATGATAATGGGCATTATTGTCAAAACTGCATGCGCAAATAATAGCTGTTACTATCGTAACAAGTTGTGCGTTCATTCGCGTAAGAATTCGACAAAAGATTCTCAAAGGCGAGAAATGGCCACTCGCGGATTGAAAAGGATGCCAATAATTAACCGGAAAATTGCATATTTCCTGAACACATTTTCTGACACAATTCCAGGATAGACCTGTCTATGGTGAGAATTTTCTCGGAAACTCACTTCTCGTTGGATGCTCTTCTTGCTCGCTTATTTTGCGATTGCAAAATACATTTGTTTACTTCACTTGCGATTAAATCGATTATGCAATCATCTACGCTGCGATAAGGTCTGTAATCTTTCATAAATAATTTCAGCTTAACCCCGCTGTAGTTCGAGAAAATATCAATGATTCTTCAATGCACGGAAAATTTCTTCGTCATATATGATACATGTAGTAAAGCATGTGTAAATGATCGCTAAGCAAGAAAATGTCTAAGACGCATATTATTTTTGAATACGAAATCAAGTACGCGCGGCTTCTCTTGGAAACAAACGCATCGCATAATCGGCGACTTTCTGACCCAAACCTAATGTTAATTAAACGACCCGAGTTTCCAGCGCATTAGCGAGTCAATTGGCAGTCGCAACGAGTTTATATTCGAACGCTGCGCACGTTCTCTCTTCCTTCGAAGCGGTCTTTCCGCTTCGGTCTTTCCGTCCCGAGACGTTAGCTTCATCGCGAGACTTTATACAACAATATAAATGATATCTCCCATGATAATCCCATATCTGGAAAACTAGGTCGATCGAATGCGCGGATATCTGATTTGAGATTTCAACGTCTAGTTACCACATCGATTATATAATTCCTCCACTCGTCAAACGCAATTATCAATTATTGATGCCGAAGTTTCTTTGCCGTTCGCGTGACGTCGATCGCGATCAAGAAGAGCATTCTAGGCAGCGACGAACGATTAAGGCTGAGAAATATGGATAATTCAAACGAGACATTATTGATAATTATCAAACGTCCTCAATGGTATAAATATAGCAAATAATATATCTTAATTGGCAGTTTCGAAGAGATAAAGTACTTGTTAACTCCAGTGTTTCGTTTCGCTCCTCCCTGATTGCCCGCTATTAGACTTAATACACAATGATTTAGATTCATTGGAGAGTACCGTTGCTTTCAGCTACATCTTGTGCATTGGAACACCAGCAAGTACAAAACTTTCGCTGAAGCCGCGAAAGCTTCTGACGGTCTGGCCGTTCTGGGAGTCTTCCTTAAGGTTTGTAGCACAATAATATTTCAGTAATGGAAATGCGTGCCACATTAAAATAATTATTAAAAACGACGTCTCATATAATTTGCTGATTTGTTAAATCTTTATATAATCATTTACCGTGCATTTTTATACAAGTCTGCGGAAGCCACATCTCTATTCGGGATTCTAATTCGCTTATATTTCGTCGAGCCGTGACTATCTATAGTCACTTAAGCTTTTTACATAAGACATTAGCTGCACAAGCGGAATCCATGTGGAGATGTGGAGGTGCCACCACCGATCATCGCCGAACGGTTGATTATATAAACGTGAGACGCAGACATAATTCGTCATCATCGTCGTCATTGTCGTAACACGTATCGAGCTTAAAACGAGATACGTAAATGCACGTTTGTATGTATGTTTTCGTTAGACGCGTATGCGACGCTGTCGTTTGTATTCATTTTGTAGCAAAAGAATACCTTGATCGCGTGCAATAGCGATTACCCTCTTCCGCTTGGCACAGCGCTTTGTATCTAATAGTATCTATTTAGGTTGCAGCTACGCGGCTCGCGATATCATGAAGAACGTAACGATCGCGACGATCGCGACGATCGCGCAATTGCGCAAAATTCCATATAAGCGCAAATGATACGTCATCTTTCGCTGACAGGAGATGAGACATTATTATGAGATCAGATGCGATAAATCTCGAAGAGCAGAAAGACTCGTGAAGCTAGCTTTTCTCACGAAGTGCACCATGATTATTTCTTACGTAACGATGCATAGCTTCGAGATAAAATAAAGTCGCGTAAGAGAATGCAGGGAACACATGTATCGAAGAAAATTTATGCGCCACGTGCAACGGTGACAATGCGACAGACAAGTTTAAAAATATCATTACATAATGAATATCGGCTCAATGTCGAGCAATTTTATCGCGCCTTATTTGCTTTTTAAATCATTATTTTGCGATCATTACAGTCGCTACTTAAAAATATTTGATAAGGAAATCTATTATAATTCCGCGATAAACTCTTAAGCTTTTTATCGACTTACATGTTCTTGCAAAACTATTTTACAAAAAAGCATTTATGGAGCATAAATCAAATGTATATCAAATGTGTATCAAATATAGATCTAGAATATGTGATAGTCTTTTGCTGGTCGAAAGATTTAATTGGAAAAAAATTCATTAATTCTAGCTGTTTAATTATATCTCGGCCCTTGTGAAATCGCACATTATTATATCAGAAAGGAAAGAAACCGAAAGATCTGCTTGTAGGTCGGCAAGACTCACGAAGAAATGGACAAGATCGCGCGATTGTTGCCATATGTCTCGCACAAAGACGAGGTTGTGGAAATTACGGAACCTATTGACCCTGGTAAACTTCTTCCTGGTAAGTTATCATCGATCGAATGATAGTAAGTTATCATCGATCGACCCTAGGTAATTTGATGATTGTCCCTTTGATCAAACAGTCTATCTATTCGTGATTTATAGCGTCCGTGATCCATGTCCTTGTTGTTTCTCCTGTAAAATTCATTTACTAAAACCTGTTTGTATAAGCCAATCAGATCGGTCCTGTCATACTTTGTAATAGTCCTATGCAGATTAATTAATTCGAACAAAAAACCTGGCTACGAAACTAACAATAATAATGTTGAAAATGTTTAATCTTGT